TGGCTGGTGGGAGGGTGGGAGTGAGGACAGTAAATAGAGAGGTACTCTTGGGGCCAGTGCTGTGGCATAGTGGGTGAAGCTGCTGCCTACAGTGCCAGCACCCCATATGGGTGCTGGTTTGAGTCCCAGCTGCTCCACTTCCCATCCAGCTCTCTGCTATGGCCTGGGAAAGCAGTAGAAGTGACCCAAGTGCTTGGGCCCCTGCACCTGCGTGGGAGACCCAGAAGAAGCTCCTGGCTTTGGATTGGCACAGCTCTGGCCATTGTGGCCAGCTGGGTAGTGAACCAGATGATGGAAGACCATTCATTCTCTCTCTCTTTGCTCCTCTGTAACTTTCAAACAAATAAATAAATCTTTAAAACAACAACAACAAAAAAAGAGACATACTCAGCTTTTCTGTTTCTAAACTATGCTAATCAGTGTCACACACTGGGTCTGTCACACACTAAGAGCCTGTTAAATAGCATACACATAGGGAATGCTTATTGTGCTTAGGAAGAAATGCCAATAAACTGTTTATAGGCACAAGGCACAATTTCAGTAGCAACCCACTATACGCACAGTATGAATTATATTCTTTTCTGAAAACCAGAACAGTGGTTTTCAAAGCAGTGTGTGAGGGCCCAGGGTTCCTAGGCTGCAGTAGCAGCCGCTGGGAGAGAGGGGGCGATGTTCGCAGGGGAGGCCGGGAATTTCCCCATCACTGCTTCACACACACGGCAGCTCCTCCTCTGCCTGTTAGCTCAGGGGATACACAAAAACGGGCTGCAGACTGGCTGTGGCCCACTCACGGCAGTGTGCCAACCCTTGGCCCAGGATATAATGAAACACGATATACTTCTTAAAAATCAGACTGGAGTTGTGGCCAGCTCGTGGGAATGTGAAATCCTACTGTCTGCAACAGTGACACACAGTGACAGTCAGATGGAAACAACGTCCCAGTCTGGAATGGATCTGCGGACCCCACGTGTGTGCGCAGTTTCAGCTCCTCATCGCTTTTGGGCCTGCTGCTGATGGGCACACTAAGCGTAGGAGACCCTCCTCCTAGAAGTATTCTCGGAGCGCCACACGGTGAGACAGCAGGGCAGGGTGGACGTTCACGACGGAAGCCAAGTCTGACACCACTCACAGACTGCGTGCGAGGGCGCATCCTGCCGCTGGGAACTCTGTGGCGTCTCCATTTCACCAGCGCACACAGGGGTGACAGCGTCCACCAATAACACACACCAATCCAGATGCCATTTTTATCTGGACAGTTTGAGCCATAAGTGACCATGACAGATCTTCACATTCCTAAAAGCAAGTCTCTAATGAAGTAGAAGGCAAGACAGAGAGAGAAGGTGGGCTGCAAGGGAGACAGACCGGCGGCGCTCAATGGAGACAGAGAGAAGGTGGGCTGCAGGGGAGACAGACCGGCAGCGCTCAACGGAGACAGAGAGAAGGTGGGCCGCAAGGGAGACAGACCGGCGGCGCTTAACGGAGACAGAGAGAAGGTGGGCTGCAAGGGAGACAGACCGCCGGTGCTCAACGGAGACAGAGAGAGAAGGTGGGCCGCAGGGGTGACAGACTGGCGGCGCTCAACGGAGACAGAGAGAAGGTGGGCTGCAAGAGAGACAGACTGCCGGCGCTCAACGGGCAAAGCAGATTTTTAAAGCTGGCTGTTTCACTATCTATAAAAACCATCACTGCATGTACCTTTTGAGTCAGCAATTCCAGTTCCATACATGGAAATGCATATACTCACAATTAGGCACTAAAATCGTGAGCTATCGACTGAAGCATTATTTGCAAAAGATTGGAATAAATTATATCTATTCAATGGGATACTAATGCAGCTATTGCAAAAACAAATGAGGCGGCATTTCATAACCTGATATGAAATGAAGCTAAGTGTATGCTATTTTTAAAAGAATCAAGGTGTACAATGGTATAATTCCTTTCAGGAAGGGAGAGAAAAAAAATATGGGGATACTTCAAAGAGTTCATTGGAAAATGTAATCAAAGGATAATATTGGTACAAAAAATTTGAAATCCATTCACAGATTTTTTCATAATATGCATTTTCCATGAACTTTTTGAAAACATATATATATATATATATATATATGTGTTTTCCTGTTTTGATAGATAGGACATCCCAAGAAACCTAAGAAATATACAACATTGGGTGTATCGGACAAACAGAATTTTAGTGTCACAGGAAATTTTTTTTCTTAAGTCTTTATTTACTTTTTAAAAATTTATTTGAGAGGAAAGAGATAGAATGTATGCACTACTATTCTCTGATTCACTCCTCACGTGCCTGCAACAGCCAGGCCTGGGCCAGGTGAAAACCAGGAGCTAGGAACTCCCCTCTAGGTCTCCCACATGGGTGGCAGGGATCCAACTATTGAGCCTTTACTGCTGTCTTGCAGGGTGTACATTAGCAGGAAGCTGGGACCGGAGCCAAGCCAGGACTCAAACCCAGGCACTCAAGTTGCTTGGTCAAATGCCTGCCTCAAAGGAAGATTTCTTGCAAGAAAACTTTTCCTACTTCTTGGATTTTGAAGCTACTCTCAAAAAATAATTCTCAAACAACAACTCTCAGATACCTGCTAACTAGGTCATTAAACATCGGGGTGAAGCTTGGAAGAATTTAATGCCTCTGTCCAGTTTAATGAATCTCTAATAACCACATAATACATATGTAGATTACTGTGTTTGTCTTTCCAACTTGCCTCTTTAAATAGGCAGCAATTTCTCATGACCACGGAGAAGCAGGGAGAGGACAAGACAGCCCATCTCATGATGGCAGCCGGTGTCCCAAATCCAGCAGCAACGTCCCAGGGCCCTTCCCAACCCCCGCAGCCGGGTGGAGGAGAGGAGGATCACGGGCAACAGGAACACTTCCCCATCACCCTCCATCACGAACACTGTAAGGATATCCACTTTGTACCAGGCCCTCTTTCAGCCATCCTATGGGTTATCTGCCAATTGAATAGGTAGAGACATACACGAGTCACCTCTCATCCCTGTTGGGTAAACAGCAATTTCCAGGCAGAGAGAGAAGCACAATATTTTGATTACAACAGAGCGCAGCAGGCACGCGGATGGCCTGGAGGCATAAGGACAAGCACGAGCATGCTGTGTACTTCTGAAGGTCAGAGTCCTCTTTAATGACAGGGCTCCACCCCAGCGCAGCACACACTTATCCCATGATAGCTCACTTCCTTCTTCCTACATGTAAAATGAGCCTCCCTGCGGGATGTGGGGGAACCACTCAGAGACACGCAGTCACAGTAACACTACCCAGCTCACACGAGCAAGTCCATGAAAAGGCACACAAACTTGAAACCGGAAGACCTGGGAAACAACAAGCCATCACATAGTTCCTCGGCTGCAACAGATTTTACAATCCTACAAGCACAAAACACAATATTTCGTAAAACCATCCTTTCCAAAATCAACACGAAAAGATGCTGCGGCCAGCAAAGGGCAGGTGCCGGCAGGAGCAAGCCCACCTCAGGGGCAGCCCATGTCCATGTCTGAGCGTGGGTCATGTGACAGTAACACTGGCCTGCTCCAACCCCTTCTCCTGCCCACTACAAAATGACAAGGATGAGACAATGTAGGCTAAGTCCCAAGTCAGCCTCAAGTTCTAAGAAAGTAGCTGAAATATCTGTGAGATGAGAATCACTTGTCTATCATCATATGCAATCCTCTAAAATATACAAGGTTTCCATCCTCAAATTCCTTATTGTCTCTCAATAAAATCACAAATATCGGCACCTGAACATAAGCTATCTTCTAGGCTATTCCTTCAGAAATGGATGGTCTGGGAAGTCAACACCATAGAAGAATCCAAGTAAGAAAGTGGGGGCTGTGGGGCCCTTCAGCACCTAGGAGCCCTGGAAGCCCTTTAAACCCCACAAAAAGGATGACCACACTGTCTGCAACAACCCCTTTTTTTCTAATTTTTTAGAGATTTATTTTATTTGAAAGGCAGAGTTACAGAGACAGAGAGAAAGAGAGACACAAAACTCTTCCATCTACTGATTGACTACACCTTCCTAAATGGCCACAATGGCCAGTGCTGGGCCAGGCTGAAGGAGCCTGGAACCCCACCCTGATCTCTCACAAGTGTGGAAGGGGCCCAAGCACTTGGGCCATCTTCCACTGTTTTCCCAGGCCCATTAGCAGGAAGCTGGATCAGAAGTGGAGCAGCCTGGAGTTGAACCGGCAACCATATGGTATGCTGGCATCGCAGGTGGTGTCTTAACCCTCTGCACCACAGCACCAGACTCACACAATCCCCTTTCTAAAAGGTCCACTACAGGCCAGACAGATAATACCAATCAGCTGTCTCTATCCAAATCCTCACCAACCCTTAGCCACACCGTGGGTCTTTGACCTTCTCAGACATCATTTACTTGCCCTTGATTTTATCATGGTAGCATGGGAATTAGGAGATGTCGGGGCCAGATTTCTCACCTAGCCATGTGGCGATTTCAGAGTTCACAGTGTTTGCTACCCTGACTCATCTGGAAACTTGCTTCATCTCCGAGGAAAGAGGCTCCAGAATCAGCTAATGTAAACTCCTCAGTGTGTTCTCACCTGTGTGTGAGATCACTCTCCCAGTGCCATCTTTTCAGGACCATTACCAAAACATTAGCATCCGACAGTTGATCCCAGCCCTCCTACCATCTAAACAAGAGTCTTTGAGAAATCATATACCCTCCCTGGGCCTTGCCTCCTCATCTGTAAACCAAGAGGACTCGACTAGACGCAGGGAGATGCTACATCTTCGTCAGATGTAACATTCTATGTCTGTGACTCCCATGGAACTAGAACCAAAACAATGCACTTAAACTTGGCCACATGCAAGGCAGCACATGCACTGGCAAAGCCTACCTCTGTAGAGTTTCCTCTGATGAGGCTCAATGGGCATGTCCACAAGAGGTGCTCTAGCAGTAAGCTTTTCAAACAAAAGGTTTCCTACATGGGTTTCCACACGTACTTACCTTTCCCGCATCCACCAGTTCCGCAATTTCATCCAGACATGGACCACTGGCCATGAAAAAGGCCCAGCGATAATGCACTCCTTGCCAGAAATGCTAAAAAGGGAAAACAAAACATGTCAAATATAGAAAAGGATACTATCTGACTAAATGCAAAGTTAGGGAAAAGCATTTTCTGGATGATTCAGACGGACAAACTGACTTCCCACTTCCTGTCGACACAGTGCCTCACGGTGGACGCTCCACAAATGTCTAATAAACGTGTGAACAAAGATACATCCGTGCACCTCTGGCTGCTCCTCCAGGTGACTGACCATCAGGTATGCACAGGAAGCTCTCCCGAAACAGCTCAGCACCTGGGTTTCTCCCCTGGAAGGACTCAGGCACTAAAACCTCTAGGCTTTCCTACTGACATCTGAAGCCTGGAGGCAACAGAAAAGACATGTTTACCAAATCTGAAAATGTTTAGGGGCATCAAGGCACCAAAATATATCTTTAGGCAAGAAACCCAAATGTGATTTATTTTTTTCCGGCTCTGAAAGAAATAAAGCAGCTTTAAAGCCAAAATAAAGCATAAGGGTCCTTAACCACCATGACTTGGTTTCCCCCACATTTATGGAAATTACCAAGCCATCCAATCTACGATGGGATTAAACCTCTCCCGATAAAGATGAACAAAAGCTGACACCTGGAGGGTTTGTGGCCGCTCTACCAAACCTGTCAGTCTTCCTACTGGAGATAAGGTGGGCCATTATGACAAAAGTGGACTCAGGCTTCCCAGGACAGGTCAATGAACTCCCCAACCACTAGATGGGAGTATCAAAGGTAAAACACGGTTAGCCAGTACCCCACTGATGCCCTCCCTGCTGACCCACAACCGCTAGTGAGCTCAGCCTTGTCTTCCAGAGCTCACCCCAGCCTCACAACCTCACCGTTGATATCAGCCATTAGCACAGCCTGCAGCTAGCAAGTACAATGGCACTGCCCACTGCTCTAGCTCAGGCACTTGGGAGTTGCATTATATTGGTCAGGCTATGTCTTTCAGCCCATTTCCTGTGAGTGGTACCACCTCCTAGCTCACAGGGTTGTTGAAAGGTTTAAATGAAAAGTATATAAATGCCTGATTCAAAATAAGTGTTTTGTTCTTGCGGTTGGTGCTACAGCATACCAAGTTAGGCTGCTGCCTGTGACATTAGTATCCATGTCACAGTGCTGGTTCCAGTCCCAGCTGCTCTGCTTCTTATCCAGCTTCCTGTTAATGTGCCTGGGAAGGCAGCAGAAAATGACCCAAGTGTTTGGGCCTCTGCCACCCACACAGGAGGCCTGGATAGTGGCACTGGCTCCTGGCTTTGGCCTGGCCCAGGCCTGGCTGTTGTGGCCGTCGGGGAATGAACCAGCAGATGAAAGATTTATCTCTCTAACTCTGATTTTCAAATAAATAAATAAATCTTAAAAAAAATTTTTTTAATTAAGTATTTGTCTAGGGCTGAAAGTAAAGCTTACTGAGCTAAGAATAGGACAATAGCAAATCAGGGTTTAAGAATGTAAAAAGAAAGAAAGATCCAAGTTACTATCTCCTGGATGGGACAGTCAAGATAGTGGAATGGGTTGTGTGTGTGTTGTGGGGGAGCTGACTGCTCTAGTCTAGGGGAAGATAGTTAAAAAATAGCAGAGAGGCCGGTGCTGCGGCTCACTAGGCTAACCCTCCACCTGTGGCACTGGCACCCTGGGTTCTAGTCCCGATCGGGGCGCCGGATTCTGTCCCGGTTGCTCCTCTTCCAGGCCAGCTCTCTGCTGTAGCCCAGGAGTGCAGTGAAGGATGGCCCAAGTGCTTGGGCCCTGCACCTGCATGGGAGACCAGGGGAAGCACCTGGCTCTGGGCTTCGGATCAGTGCAGCGTGCCAGCTGTGGCAGCCATTTGGGGGGTGAACCAATGGAAGGAAGACCTTTCTCTCTCTCTCTCTCACTGTCTAACTCTGCCTGTTTAAAAAAAAAAAAGCGGAGAGACACAGTCTCTGGGAAGAGTTACGGGGAAAAATCCATGAAAATTACAGGGATACCGTGGACCCATGTGGAGGGTGTGGACGCGCACAACTCAGGATCCCAGGAGCCAACAGCATCAGTGCCAGCTTTGGAGGGAGCTGAGACCAGACTGCAGCAGCCCAAGCCACTGGCAATAAAGCTGCAGGAAGAGCCTAGAGGGAGTCTGGCTTGGAGCCCTGTGGCAGATAGTTCACGTTTCTCTCTCCCCTACCACCTGGCATCAGCATTCTGTAATTAGCTGAGAGAGGGCAGGTGCCATTTTGGACATATGCACCAGCTGCACCAGCTTGTGTCTGTGCCCAGCAACCAGCAGAGAGGAGACATTTGAGTCTGGCTAGCTGGGAGCACTGACAGGTGTCTGGGAGCTCCTGATTGTGAGAGCCTTGTGTGCCAGGACTGTGAAAACACTGTGGGAGTGTGGGAGGGTACAGGGTGTGGCTAGTACTTTGGGCAGTCACTGTGGGCAGTGCCACCCTGGTGAGGGTCATTGTTGCAGGATCCATGTTCACACTGAGGACTGCAAGGATCCTTTTTGTGCATCCTGTGGCAGCGTAGATAAAAACTGTACCCACTGGGGCTAGTGCCCAGGCATTGGTCTCCTTTGAGGAGAGAAGGTGAGCATGAGAATACACCAAACAGAGCTGAACAAACTTGCCCTCTGATTAAAAAAAAAAAAAAAGATTTACTATGCCCAACTTGGGTGTCACTTAGATACTCCCCTCACCCTGGAGCACTGAACAGAGCTCTCTGCTACAGCCAGTACATGCCTCAGGTTATTCACTCAAAGAGTAAACGCTCCACTAAGGCACAGAGGCATAGTCCAGAGAAAAAAGCCATCACAGGGAAAGGAAAAAAAAAAAAGCATCACAACAAACGGCCCAATAATAAATGCAGCAATTCAAGAAACAAGAATAAGGAAGATAATATGACACCCCCAAAAGAATACAACACTTCAATACTAGAATGTGAAGATGAAGAGATTGACATAGTGCCAGAAACGGGACTCAAAAAACTGATTGCAAGATTACTTAGAAGTAATCAGAAGGAAATTCATGAATTAAAGAAATCTGTAGATGGCATGAATGAAAATTTTTCCCATGAAATTAAGCTTTTAAAGAGAAATCAAAACAAAATATTGGAAATGAAGAATTCAATTGGCCAGCGCCACGGCTCACTTGGCTAACCCTCCGCCTGCGGCACCGGCACCCCGGGTTCTAGTCCCGGTTGGGGTGCCAGTTCTGTTCCAGTTGCTCCTCTTCCAGTCCAGCTCTCTGCTGTGGCCCGGGAGTGCAGTGGAGGATGGCCCAAGTGCTTGGGCCCTGCACCCGCATGGAAGACCAGGAGGAAGCACCTGGTTCCTGGCTTCAGATTGGAACAGCGTGCCAGCCGTAGCGGTCATTTGGGGGGTGAACCAACGGAAAAAGGAAGACCTTTCTCTCTGTCTCTCTCTAACTCAGCCTGTCAAAAAAAAAAAAAAAAAAAAAGGAATTCAATAGCACAAATAAAAAATGTGGTGGAAAGCTTTAATAACAAACTCAGTGAGGCAGAAGAAAGAACATCCAAGTTAGAAGGCAAATGGTTGGAAATTTTACAGTCAGATCCCCCCAAGAAAGAAAGAAAGAAAGAGAGAGAGAGAGAGAGAGAGAAGAAGAAGAGGAGGGGAGGGTAGGGAGAGGAGGGGAGAGGGGGAGGGGAGGGGGGAGGGGAGGGAGGGAGGGAGGAATAAAGAGATAAGAAAACTAAAAAACAGCATCAGATATTTATGGGATGCTATCAAATGACCCAACATATGAGTCTTAGGAGTTCCTGAAGGTGTGGAAAGAAAGAATTAGAAGCCTCTTTAGTGAAATAATTACAGAAAACTTCCCTAATTTGGAAAAAGAAATGTTCAAGTATAGGAAGCACATACAACTCCTAATAGACATGACCAGAAAAGATCTTCACCATGACACACTGTAGACAAATTCTCCACAGTAAAACATGAAGAAAAGATTCTAAAATGTGTATGAGAGAAACACCAAATTACTTTCAGAGGTTTCCAATTAGATTCACAGCTGACTTCTCATCAGAAGCTCTATAGGCTAGGAAAGAACAGTGAGATATATTCTAAGTCTTAGGAGAAAAAAACTGTCAACCCAGAATACTGTACTCTGCAAAGCTCTAAAATGTGTATGAGAGAAACACCAAATTACTTTCAGAGGTTTCCAATTAGATTCACAGCTGACTTCTCATCAGAAGCCCTATAGGCTAGGAGAGAACAGTGAGATATATTCTAAGTCTTATTGAAAAAAAACTGTCAACCCAGAATATTGTACTCTGCAAAGCTCTCATTTATGAAGGTGAAATAAATACCTTCCATAACAAACAGAAATTGAAAGACTTTGTCACCACTCATCCAGCCTTAGAAAAAATACTCAAGGATGTGCTACACACGAAAGCACAGAAACATGCTCATCACTATGAAAGAAGGTGAAGGCAGAACATATCCCAGTAAAAGTACAAAGGAAATCCAAAGTAAACATTAGGAATATGTATGGAAAAATGGCAGGGCCAAGTCATTACTTATCAACAGTCACCTTGAATGTAAATGGCCTCAACTCCCCAGTTAAAAGATACAGACTGGCTGAATGGATTGAAAAACAAAACCCATCTATTTTCTGCCTACAAGAAACACAACTCACCAATAAAGATGCATGCTGACTGAAAGCGAAAGGATAGAAAAAGATAATCCATGTTAACAAAAACCAAAAAAGAGCTGGTGTAGCCATATTAATATCAGACAAGATAAACTTTAATACAAAAACTGTTAAAAGAGACAAAGAAGGGCACTATGTAATGATTAAGGGATCAATTCAACAGGAAGATGTAACTATTATAAACATATATGCACCTAATTGCAGGGCACTGAGCTATTTAAAAGAAATGTTAATGGATCTAAAGAGAGATATAGACTCAAATACAATAGTAATGGGGGACTTTAATACTCCACTTTCAGCAACAGACAGATCAACAAGACAATAAGCAAGAAAACAAAATTAATCAACACTATAGAT